AAAGAAATAAAAAGGATCCAAATTGGAAAGGAAGAAGTGAAACTGTCACTCTTTGCAGATGACATGATTTCATGTATAGAAAATCCTACAGAATTCACCAAAACAATTTAGAAATAATAAATGAATACAGTAAAGTTGCAGGATACAAAATCAGTTGCATTTCTGTACACTAACAACAAAGTAGCAGAAAGAGAAGTCAAAAATACAATCCCATTTAAAACTGCAGCAAAAAGAATAAAATATTTAGGAATAAATTTAACCAAAGAGGTGAAAGACCTGTACATTGAAAACTATAAAACATTGAAGAAGAAATTGAAGAAGACACAAAGAAATGAAGAGATATTCCAGGCTCTTGGATTGGAAGAATTAAGAGAGTTAAAATTTCCATACTTCCTAAAGCAACCTGCAGATTCAATGCAATCCTTATCAAAGTTCCAAAGACATTTTTCACAGAAATAGAACTAATAATCCTAAAATTTATATGGAACAACAAAAGACCCCTAATAGCCAAAGGAATCTTGAGAAAAAAGAACAAAGCCAGAGGTTTCACAGTCCCTGACTTTAAAATATACTACAAAGCTATAGTCATCAAAACAGGATTGTACTGGCACAAAAATGGCACATGGATCAATGAAAAAGAATTGACAGCCCGGAAATAAACTCACACAACTATGGACAGCTAATTTTCAACAAGGGAGCCAAGAACATACAATGGAGAAAGGAAAGTCTCTTCAATAAATGGTGTTGGCAAAACTGGTCAGCCACATGCAAAAATATGAATGTAGACCATTAATTTGCACCATGCACAAAAATTAACTGAAAATGGATTAAAGATTTGAATGTAAGAACTGAAACAATAAAACTTCTAGAAGAAAACATAGGCAGTATGCTCTTTGACATCAGTCTCAGCAGCATATTTTCAAATACCACGTCTGATCAGGCAAGGGAAACAGTAAAAAAAAAATTTAATTTAATTTAATTTAAAAAATGGGACTACATCAAACTAACAACTCTGCTCAGTAAAGGAAACAATAAACAAAATGAAAAGACAACCTAACAATTGGGAGAAGATATTTGCAAACCATATATCTGATAAGGTGTTAATATCAAAAAAATGTAAAGAACTTATATATCTCAACAACAAAAAAACAACCCAATTAAAAATTGAGCAATATCTGAACAGACATTTTTCCAAAGAAGATATACAGATAGCCAACAGGCACATGAAAAGATGTTCAACATCACTAATTATTAGGGAAATGCAAACCAAAACTGCAATGAGATACCAGCTCACACCCATCAGAATTGCTATAATTAACAAGACAAAAAAATAACAAGTGTTGGGGAGGATGTGGAGAAAAAGGGACCCTCATACACTGCTGGTGGGAATGCAAACCGGTGCAGCCACTATGGAAACCAGTATGGAGATGCCTCAAAAAATTAAGAGGAGAACTACCATATCATCCAGCTATTCCACTACCCGGTATTTATTTAAAGAACATGAAAACACCAAATCAAAAGATATTGTACCATGTTCATTGCAGCATAATTCACAATAGCCAAGACTTGGAAACAACCTAAGTGCCCATCGATGGACGAAGGGACAAAGAAGGTGTGGTGTACATATACAATGAAATACTACTCAGCTATAAAAAAAGATGAAATGTTGCCTTTTGTGACATCAGAGATAGACCTTGAGGGTATTATGCTAAGCAAAATATGTCAGACAGAAAATCAAATACTATAGGATTTCACTCTTAAGTGGAAGATAAAAACAACTCCAACAACAACAAACAAACAAACACACTGATATAGAGATTGGATGGGGGTTACCAGAGGGAAGGGGGTAGGGGAAGGAAAAATGAGTAAAAGGGCACATGCGTATGGCAACAGATGGTAATTAGTCTTTGGGTGGTGAACATCATGTAGTCTATACAGAAATAGAAATATAACGGTGTACACCTGAAATTTATATAATGTTATAAACTAACGTTACCTCAACAACAAAAAAGACAAGAAATGCTAGGACAAGCATAAAAAAAGAATTAAGAAGATAGATGTCCAAATACATTGATGAATATAAAGGTAATTTTCAAAACATAAAAGTACGCACAGTATGATGTTATGTGCATAAAAATGAATAAAAAATATATTATACAAACTGCGTTTATATAATGTTAAAAATATCTCAAATTATATACAAGAAATCATTAAGTGTAGTTGACTTTAGAAGAGCGTGCTAAGGATAGATGGGAAGTTTTTTACTTGTCACATTCTTGTCATATCGTTAACCATAAAAATATTATTTTTATAATTTGGGAAAAAGTGATAAAGCAAAGGATAAAAAGATATACATAGTTTGCCTGGTAAATAGTATTAATTTATTAATTATTAATATCTAGCTAATTGCATATTCATAAAATTATTAATGTATAATTGTTTATTATTGTTAATGTTGATTATCAATGATTGACCATAATTTATAAATAATTGACTGTGGTCATTATGATTCATCATTTAATAATTCATATAATTTATCCACTAGATAATTTCTTTCTTTTTACTGGCCAAAAGCCATTTGCTGATAATACACATATTAAATATGTGTATAGGGCCGACCCAGTGGCTTAGCGGTTAAGTGCGTGCGCTCCGCTGCTGGCGGCCCGGGTTCAGATCCCGGGTGCGCACCGACACACCACTTCTCCGGCCATGCTGAGGCCGCGTTCCACATACAGCAACTAGAAGGATGTGCAGCTATGACATACAACTATCTACTGGGGCTTTGGGGGAAAAATAAATAAATAAATAAAATCTTTTAAAAAAAAGTGTATATTTTATAACATGTACATGTATAATTTTTAGACATTCTTTAATAAATCTACATAACTGTAAAATGGAGAATGCAGAAGAAACTGACCAATGTATTGAAACAATGAAAAGTCCCTTTGAGAACAGGAATATATTCTAACACACAGAAAACCTATGAGTCATTGGGTGTGGGGATTACCAGGTCATATATTTATATTACTAACTCCTCTTGGCACTTTTGAATTCAAATCAACTGAGACCAGTTTGAACTTATTCTTAAGTATTTTTAAGGAAGGAGATGGAATATTACTATATCTAACTAAGCTTTCAGAGAAATATTATATCTTTTTTTTTGTTTTTTTTATTAATGAGGTCACATTGTTTATAACATTATATAAATTTCAGGTGTACATCATTATATTTCAACTTCTGTATAGACTGCATTGTGTTGACTACCAAAAGTCTAGTTGCCAATCATCACTGTACACAAGTGCCCCTTTACCCCTTTCACCCACTCTCCATTCTCTCCCCCTCTGGCAACCACCAATCTGGTCTCTGTATCTATGTGTTTATTTGTTTGTATCTTCCACATATGAGTGAAGTCATACAGTAATTGTCCTTCTCTGTCTGACTTATTTTGCTTAGCATAATACACTCAAAGTCTATTCTTGTTGTCAGAAATGGCAAGATTTCATCTTTTTATGGCTGAGTGGTATTTCATCGTATATATATATATATACCACATCTTTATCCGTTTGTCCATTGATGGGCACTTGAGTTGCTTCCAAGTCTTGGCTACTGTGAATAATGCTGCAATGAACATACTGGTGTATATTATCTTTTCAAATTAGTGTTTTCATGTTCTTTGGACAAATACCCAGAAGTGGAATAGGTGGATCATATGGTATTTTTATTTTTAATTTTCTGAGCAATCTCCATACTGTTTTCCATAGTGGCTACAACAATTTACATTCCTACCAGCAGTGTACAAAGGTTCCTTTTCTCCATTTCCTCTCCAACACTGTTATTTCTTGTCTTTTTAATAATAGCCATTCTGATGAGAGTGAGGTGATATCTCATTGCAGTTTTGATTGAGAAGCATTATAACATCTAATTGAAATTGCTTCTTCTGACACTCAAATTTATTTCTCCTAGTGTAAGTTACAATATAAAACAAAAATACCCAAATAATTCAGAACAATAGAATCATGGTATCTACTGAGTCTCTAAGGCTTCAGAAGCTGTGTTATGATGTAAGGAATTGAGCTGAGTTTTAAAATAGTCATACTACATGAGGCTGTTCAACTGACGTGGACCTGTGAAACAGCCTAGTAGTCAGCACTTTGATAAAACGGATATAATTCTGCAATAATAGAATGTTCAAGACCTGCAAATGAAGGAGTGTTACCACCCAAAAGGGGGTTCATCTGCCTGCTGCAAGACATGCCAATAGTCAAGAGGCAAGGTGGTAGGAAAGAAAGGACTTTTTATTACAGCTTGCTAGCAAGAGGGAAGATGGCCGACTAATGTCCAAAAAAACCGTCTGAAGGGGGCACAAAATCTTACAGCACTTATATAGGCCAGTGGGTAATAGGGGAGGGGTTTAGGAATGTTGACCCTCGTGTATTACAGGCTGGGAGTCACCACAACAGATATTTCATTTTTCATTGATGATGGCTATCAGCATAGACTCTCTGTTCAGGGGTCATCACATTCCTAAGGAACTCAAAAGAACAAAGTTATCATCTTATCGCAGCTGGGAGGTACATGCACAAGCAGGGGTTGTAAAATCTACAGAGCAATTAGATCATGAGGAAGAAAAAACATAAAAGATGAAAAGATGAAATTTATCCCTTCACATTGCTAAGGTATAAATACATACACTATACACCCAGCTCTGTGCTAAGTGTTGTGGGCGATTTGGAGTTTGTCTCCTTTTCAGTTAATGAATATGTGTGATATTGAAGATTGAAAGTGAAATTGGGAGTGCAGAGGTAGGTTCCAGAAGTGTCAAGGAAAAACTGAGGGATGAGTTAGGTCTGGAAGAAAGAAGAGACATTTTATCCACCAAAATAAAACAATATTTTTTAAGCCCATCACATTTCCCAACAGTAAGTCTATTTCTGTTAACATTTCATCACTTCCCCATTTTGTTGCTTCCTGGAGTGGAGACTGATTTGTTGCCCAGTAAATTCCCTTGTCCTCCTTATGCAAGAAAAGAAATTCTGACCTAACACACAGCCACAGAACAAGTTAACAATATTTTTATGTCTTAGAGTTGAGCTTCCTAAAATACAGATAAAGTATTCAACCTTCAAGATTCATTTTCCTTGAATCTTACCAACAAGACACTCCTGGATCCAGAAATTGAAGAGAGAAGGAGAGAGAGAGAGAGAGGAGGAAAGAGAAAGAATGAATTCATCCAAATCACCTGCATCACAATGCACAGGTAAAATTTGCAGCTCTCCCTTTTCTTTCACAGATTTTTTTTTTTGAAAGAAGTGATAAATATGTTGAAGGACAGGATGATAGAAAAGTAACCAGTAAAGTGAAATAAGAGAGGTAGAGAATGAAAGAAAGAAAAATAAAAGAGAATGGTTAGAAGACTATATGTTACACTGGAAAAATTGCTGGAGATGGAGTTCGAGAGAGCTACCAGAGCGCTGTTCCCACTCTTTCTATAGTTCCCTGTGCCCTGCTGGGCAAGTCACTTCATTTCTCTGGGGCTCACTCTCCTCGTCTGTAAAATGTGTATTGGGAGGGAGGAGGAGAGGAACTACCAGATGATTGTCAGTGTTTTATCTAATTGATCTACAAAGGGCTTGGAAAACTAGACACTGAAAAGAAGAGAGCAGGAGAGAGACAAGAGAAACAGAGATGGTGAGAGAGAGAAAAGCAGAGAGAAAGATAGAGAAAGAAGAAAAAAAAATCTTAGAAATTATGAAAGTATTTTTTTAATTGGATGACTTAGAAAGGGAAAATGGCACATCTGTCTGAGTTCATGAATCAGAGTCATAAAATTAGTAAAAGATTACTCCAGTGGTTCTAAAAGTCTGATCCCCAGATCAGCAGCAACTGGGAATTTGTTGGTTTCATAGCAGCTCTCTGAGGCTGAGGCCACATAATCTGTGTTTTAACAAGCCCTCTAAATGATTCTGATGCATGCTGAAATTTTAGAATTACTTAATATAGACAAATCAAATGGAAGGAAATAAGTAAGTTTGAATAAGAATCTCATATCTCTTTTGTATCTTGCTTAAGAAATATTGACCAAGTTTGTGTCTTTCTTCCTACAGAAAAAGGATACTTCTCTTCCCAAGTGTTCTTATGGACTGTTGCTGGGGTTTCCATCCTACTACTCAGTGCCTGTTTTATCACCAGATGTGTTGGTGAGTTCTGAAGGTCAAATTCAATCTCCCTGGTGAATATTAGGAGTAAATTCTTCCTTGCTGCTTGTGGATTCTCTTCTCTTCTATTCACTTTTTTCCTCATACATCTCCAGGTTATTCCTCAAGCCAGAAACCCCAACTAGTACAAAACTTTTACCAAATTTCAGTGATCTCTAACACACTTTTCATGATAGACATTTTTCATCTCCTTGGTAGCCCTGAGTCCTCTCCCAGTGTACTCATAACATTATGTGTAACCCTCCCTATGAAGTCTGTTAACCTACAAAAACAGAAACCAGTTTAAGAGGCAAAGCATTTATTTGGGATCAAAGAATTGCAATCCAAGGAGCACAGATTCAGGTAGAAACCCAAATAGTGTCTCGATTACAGGAGAGGTGCTCAGGGATTTTCTGGGGAAAAGAGAGGAAGATGAGGTAAGTTTTATTAATGAAGAGTTCATTAGTGCTAGATGAGGTAAGGCTAGACTTATACTTTGTTAACTGGGTTAGCAATTCAGTCATCAGAAAAGTCCACTTTCACCAGTCCTTTCAAACAGAATAGTCTTGTCCCTACTGACTTCTTGGAATTTTGGTAGTTTGGTCCAGTTTGGAAGGTAAAGAAAACAAGACACGCAAGGCAATTCCTCTAAAATGGCTGCTCTGGCTCTATTTTAATATGGCTCCATTCATGTCATCTTTCACAGGTCCTAGCCAGAGACATGACAAATCACTTTTTGGAAGGCAGAGTAGAAAGAGTTAGACTCGGCATAAGACAGAGTACAAATACATTTGTTTTCTCTGGGCCTTTGGGCCTGAAATAAAGTACATTCATCCTCATAAATCAGGAAAATCCTGAAATGTGAATGCCCTCTTCTTTCTTTGAGTAAGTGAATCTATACGAAAGGAAATGTAATAGTAAGAAAATATTATGATAATTATTGTCTCTTTTGTTATAAGTACAAAAATGATAAAATTTATTTTTTATCAAAAGAGTAATGAACATTAACTGTGCCCCTTTCCTTACAGTGACATATCACATCTTTCAATCCTGTGATGAGAAAAAGTTCCAGCTACAGGAGGATTTCATGGAGCTCTCCTGCTATAATGGTGGATCAGGTATAATAGTCCTCAAATTTGAACATCAAAATTTACATATCTGGCTTCTGGATTGATTTTGGGATAAGTAAAGTAGTCGGATTAGGTCTTGTGTTTCAAAAACAAAATGTACAATCTTGCCTGTGCTGTAAGAGAATGATGAGAAGTTAGGAAGAGGACAGGAACAGAACTTTGGAAATGCAATTAGCTTCAGGGCAGGACATCTTGGGGACATTATAGCAAACTTTTAGAATAAATCTGAGGTATCTGTCTTAACAGTGAATCTAGAAGTAGAAGTTTATCCCGGGAATACACTTTTGTTTTTTTTAATTTATTGCCTGCTTCCAAAATGAGATGAAAGAGAAAAAAAAATGTATAGAGTAGGGAATTTGGAAATACCTCAGAAATACACTCCCTATACTCTTATATACAGTCCTGTTCCAAGACTTAGCAAAATGCTACCTGACACCAGAAAATGACTATTTTCTCTGGGCTACAATTTCCTCACCATTAAATTGAGAGAGATTAGACTATTTATTTTTAATAAACTTCAAAGTCTTAAATTCTGTAATTCTAAGAAATTTAGCCCATCTGCACAACCAGTCTGAAGATTTTCTTGAGGGTCATTGTTTTGGGCAACATGAGAGATGGTTGCTTAGAGGTCACTCAGATAAAATGCATAACTTTCTCCGACCTTGGCAGTCTAAGAACAGATAATAGGGTTCTATATCAATAGCTACCTAAGATAGATTGTATATATGGTTACATTTACCGGCACCGACATCTAGAAAATAAGGATTATGTCTCAAAAGACAAGAAAATTGCTGTTTGTGTTTACTGACATAAGAGTTATCTAAAGTCTTAGATAGTAAGATGTGGGACATGACCAAAGCGTTCCAAGGCTTCTGACTGTGGACTTTATGGGTCCAGATGAAGGTTTCCGTTTTCTTACTTAGTTCATATGGGACACTCACAGAAACTTCTCCTCCTAGGTTCAGTCAAGAATTGCTGTCCATTGAACTGGGTACATTTTCAATCTAGCTGCTACTTCTTTTCTACTAACGTCATGTCCTGGACAGCAAGTTTAAAAAACTGCTCAAATGTGGGAGCTCATCTGGTGGTTATCAACACCCAGGAGGAGCAGGTAGTTGGAGTATAGCTTCCTCCAGCATCAATGTAACATTCTTCACAGGATCTATCCCTTTCTTCATACACGTGTACAGTGTTTGGCCCGCATTACTACTTGTTAAATGAATGTACTAAAATGTATGCTGTTTCTACTATTTCTGTAAGTCAACACCTACTCTAATTTATTTTCATTACCAGAAGAGTCCAAGAAAAATGGAATTTCCATGTTCAGGTCCTTTATTAGGCAGGAAAAAAAGGATTGGGAGTTCATTTTAGAATGACCATTATATTTACAAACATGTCATATGAACAAAGGAAAGAAAGTCTATTATCTTTAAGCTACTATTAGTACTGGTTTGTGCTAGATATATACAGTATATTTTGCTACATATAACAGTAGATAAATTTTGAATGAGTTATTGAGAATCTCCTTCTCTGCTGAAGGTTCTTTTTTGTTGGTTTAATTTTATATTATGTATATTTCTGTCACAATAAAAAATCAAGAGATAATCCTCCATGACGTTACAATTTCAGGGCCTTGATCTATCATCTTTAGTCCAGATTCTACTTTATCTCTTTTAATAACAATTAGCTTCAACATTTGTTCAGAATTGAAATCACTGATATATTTTTTGATTGTGTATCTTCCATAGGAATTCCTTTTCCGCGAGAAACCTAGAGAGAAAGAGTTTTATATTGGACTGACTGACCAGGTGATCGAGGGTCAATGGCAATGGGTCGATGGCACACCTCTCACAGAGTCGCTGAGGTAATTTTTCTTCTTGTAGGAGAATTGTACCACTACCCCAAATCCTAAAGTTAGACCACTGTTGAGGGGAGTTCTCAGAACCTCCTTCTGTTCCATGAGATATATTCAGGTCCATCCTTGGTGATATTAGACACAAGAAGAGAGAAAAGAAAAGAATGAGGATCTACTTCTCTCATTTCCTAAGGCTATCTCAAGAATAAAGAGGAAATAACAGATGAAGATGAGAAGAGGATTAAAATTGAAGACTAATTTCATTAGAAATGCAGCAGAGACGGAGAGTGAAATTCAGAGTCTTATGCCCTCAAACTGTAGTGAATGAGACAAAAATAGTGATTTGGGAAAGATAGCAGATTCTTATGGAGTGAAAGCAGGAACTCCCTTCATAACATCTCTTTTCTCCTTAATAATGGCCTTACATCATTAGAGCACAGCATTTTGGAGTTTTCCAAGTTTTTATCTCATTCATTATTTCATTTTACCTAAATTACACCTTTCTGAGATACACTGATATTATTAACTTTCACTTAGTGTTTGAGGAAACTAAAGGCCAAGGAGGTTAAATCAGTTCTGAGAGTATAGCCCAGATGCTCTGATACTTTAGAAAGTTGCTTCACTATAGCACTGTAACACCATTCAAGTATGCACCTAAGTTAATACAAACTCTGTGTAGAATAAAGGGAACAAAACATGACACAGGGTATGAATGCAAAGGGAACAAATCTATCAGGATATCAATCCTTCCAATAACTTCTCATTCTGGGTCTAAAGCTATGAGGGAGCACGACAAAATAGAAAGTCAGAAAGAGCCAGTGCGGCTGCACTACTCATAAACTCTATGACTCACACAAATGATTGAGCTTTTCTGAGATTCTTTTCTTTCATCAATAAAATGGAAATTATACTACTTATCTCACAGGGCCCACTTCATGGCACAGTGATTAAGTTAGATGTGCTCTGCTTCAGTGGCCCGGGGTTCACAGGTTTGGATCCCAGGCGCGGACTTACACCACTCATCAGCCATGCTGTGGTGGCAACCCACATACAAAACAGAGGAAAATGGGCACAGATGTTAGCTCAGGGCAAATCTTCTTCAACAAAATTAATAATAATAATAATAATAATATCTACCTCACAAAGTTGGTGTGAAGTTAAATAACACAAATGTAATTCACCTAACATATTAGGTCACTTTACCTCCTGTAGCTGAGATTTAAAATCTCCCGTGTTGCTCTCTTTCAGCTTCTGGGATATAGGGGAGCCCAACAACTTAGCTACAGTAGAGGACTGTGCCACCATAAGAGACTCTTCAAACTCAAGGCAAAATTGGAATGATGTGCCCTGTTTCTTCCGTCAGTTTCGGATTTGTGAAATGCCAGAAATTAAAACTTGAACAAAGAAAAACCTCTAAGAACGGAAGGCAGAACTTAAATGTATAAATGAGGAGGAACAAGAGCATGAACACAGCCTCGCCTCCAACACAAGAAAAGTGTACACTGCACTTCCTAAGGACTTCACAAGTGTTTGTTGCTCTGATATAAATAAAAATGAGTAGTTCTGAATGTCATAATTCATTATACTAACTGAAGTGCATTTTTCTTTACATTAGTCTCAGGACTTCTCAGAATTTACCAAGCAATTCTCCAGCAAATGCTAGAAGAAAGAAATGCTTTTTTTGGTACATTTGCTTCATTTGTGAGTATATGAAACTACAAGGACATAGAACAAGTACGGAGTCCAGCAAAGGAGATTTTGGAAAGTGCCTTTGAACAACTGCCTAAATTCAGGCTCTGTGTCAATTCCTCTTCTTTCTAGCTCCTGAAAAATCTGTCTTCTCATCTTGATTTCATACTGTTTTTATCCCCTGCCCAAGCATATATCCTCACTATGTTCTTCTCTACAATGAGCAAGAAACTTCCTCAAGCCATGGAACTTATTTCTGCTCGAAAGACTGATGTAAATTTTCTTGCCAAAGGCCTTTATTGCACCTTCTTAGGGAAAGGCTATGCTAACTTTTAGCTCCAAATCGACTGAGATCCAGTCCACTCATTGCAGGAACTCCCTTTTCTCTCTAGTCTCTGCCATTGACTAACTGGATCTCACCTGAATTTGTGTCTATTGCTCAGCTAGATCCGGAGTCGAACAGTCAAATTATTCTAAGGAGACATTCAGCTTGACATTTTCCTGTCTCAAGACTATTCATTTATTGCATAATATTCTATCAATACTGATAAGGTTATACAAGAATATGTAAATAACTTGGCAGCTTTATAACCATGTTTCTTGCAGACTGTACCATAAAGAGACGCTCAAAATTCATACATTGGAATTAATGTGTAATTATTGAATGGGAAAATTCAACTAAACAAGTAAATATAATATATTAGCTTTCCTTACAAATGTTTATTTCCCCCAGACATAAGTGACAATCTGTGGTTTTGAAATCAATACACCTTTAAATCAAAAGTCATTCAACCTAAAAGTAATCCAATAAGTATATCTTCAACTTTCTAATTCCCTTTTTTCAAATCATAAACATCAATGAGGAAACACTGAAAAATATAAACTTGCTTTTTTCATCTTTGTTTCCTTGCAGGTGGCTATAATTTGATTATTTTGAGTTTTATTTCATTATTAAAAGACATGAAAATGTTAGTGTGTATTATTTCACCATATATTTATCATTTAAGTTATACAATTAACTTGGTCTTCAAAGTTTGGCAAGAAAAGAAACAATTGCTAAGGGCTTAGTGGTTAAAGATCATTGGAACCTAAATTATTTATCTGGAAAATTCTTGTTTGAGAAGTAAATTATCCAGTTGAAACTGTTTTAAAATATAATATTTTATAAATGCGGCTACACAAATATTTAGGCACCAGAAAACCCAGAAAGTTACAAAAAATAAAAGAGTAAGTAATCACCCATATTCCCTAGACCATGTTCCCAAAATAAACCACTGTTAAGATTTAAATTTTAGCATTTGGGCCCCTAATTTTTTTAAAAGAAAAATCACTCTGCTACATTTTGTAAAAATGGTACATATTCATTATCAAACATTTCTAAAGAGTACGACTGCATAAAGATGAAAGTGAAAAACATCTAAATATCAAGTTGCAGAAATAATTATCATGAACATCACTCCAGAAAACTTTTTTTGACTTCAAAAATTAGATAAAAGGATGGAAAGACAAGGAGGTGGAAGATAAATATTTATACATATATATGAAAAAATATATATATGCATATATATGTACGCATATATGTGTGTACATCCCGGCGGAGGCGCAGACTGCCTGAAGTGTCAAAGCCTGAGCTAACGTGAGGAGCGCTGGCGTCTGAGTCCAAGTAGGAGCACCGCGTAAGAGAGGCCGCGTAGAAGCGGCGCAGGGTGGAGCACACAGACGATCCCTAGCAGGCTGGCTTACAGGTCTTGCAACCAAGTTTCATCGTTTTCTCCATAGAACTTGCACATTTGGTTGAGTTTATTCTTGGGTGTCTTACAGTTGTATTGCTATGGCAAATGTAATATTTGATATAGAAATACATTTTCTATATTTTGCAGGTATTATACAGGAATATTGTTGATCTTTGTATATGGATAATTTATCCAGAAACATTGCTGAACTCTGCTGTTATTTTTTAACGCTTTGGCTGTAGATTCCCTTACATTTTCTTTGTAGATAATTATGTTGTCTGTATACTGAGGTATCTAGTACCATAGCTACTGCACACTGAACACTAGTCCTCCTTGAGGTATGCTGGGAACTGTAAAATAAATACACCACATTTTCGAGGACTTATTTTGAAAAAAAAGTGAAATATGTCACTCATAGTTTTATATTGATTACGTGTTAAAATGATAATATTTTGGATATATTGGTTTAAATAAAATGAATTATTACAATAATAATTTATTTTTACTTTTTTGATGTAGTTACTGGAAAATGTAAGCATATATGGCTCATATTTTTGACTTGCGTTGTATTTCCTTTGCACGGTTCTGGTCTGCAAATAATGATGGTTTTGTTTTTTCCCTTTCCAGTTCTTCTGATCATACTAAGCTAGCTAGGACTACCAATATATGTTTAGATAGAAGCTGCTGTAGTGGGCATCCTTGTTTTGTTCTTGACTTTAAAGAAAATGCTTCTAATGGTTTACTTTTAAGTGTAATGATTGCTGTAGGTTTGGAGTAGACCCTCTGTAGAAAATTGTTTTTATTTCTTATTTGTTAAATATTTTACACTAAATGGTTTATTGATTCTATTAAATGATGCTTAAGCATCTCTTTTTAAAAGTCAATATGATTAATTACATCAAAAATTTGCATACAATGTACATACATGTACATTCCTTAAAAAAAAAACAATTCTTCTACAAGGATTATAACTAAAAATAGCTGTTTTTAGCCAACTCCTGATTCCCATGTCCAAGAGGCAACCATAGTCAACTCTTTAGATGTTCCTTCTTCTGTTGAGTTCCATGTTACTAAATAGATTGGCTTCTATTTCTAATAGTTTCTAAAAACACTTTAAACTATAACGCTTTGATTTTTTTCAATTTTAGATAATTCAATAATTTCTCCACATGAAATGAAATGAAACAAGAATCTCCCTCTCACACACACACAAAATTCCCATCCTTCTGATATCACTAAATCATAATTTATTGTTAAAACAATATTCAACATTTACATTTTTATGAATATGTAAATATTATTCACAGTTGAATCATGTACTATATCATGATTGTGTATTCTTAAACACATTTTTCTTTTCATGTAGCTAATATTGGCATCATTTTTCATATTTATCTAGTTTTGTATGCACTAATTAATAATTCATCCCTTAACTCTCCGGAATTATACATCACCTCTCAATGCATTAAGCGCATTTTATTAGTCTTATATTTTCATGGGGAAAAGAAATGTTCTTGGAACTCTGTCTTCCTTTTCTGATCTGAACTGGGATTGCTCTTGTAGTTTGTTTCACAGCCATTATTTTGTTGATTTTTATTACATAAAGGAAATATTTTGTCATTTTAAGGTTACTTCAAATTGTAATACACCAATACAATGAAACACTATTTACTTATAAGGAACAAGGTATGAAAGATTTTCTAAATTATATTGTTAAATTAAAAAATGTAAAATGTTTAAGATTATGTAGGCAATGTTTCCATTAGTGTAAAAATTGAGGGTTATATATTTATACGTGTTTATATATAATACATGTAAACATATATTGAAATACATAAAAGAAACTGATAATCATAGTTACTCTGAAGACGCATTTAGGGGACTGGATGGAGTTCAGGGTGGAAGGGAGATTTATCTTATACTTTAATAAATGTTTTTACTGTTTGTCTTTCTAACATATATATACATTTCTTTTTCAAAGATGGAAACAGTATTTAAACTTTTTCTGTTTCAAACTTCTAGGACTACCACAATGTACTAAAAAATTAGTATTTATTTTTATGAAATTACTCTCAGCTGTCTTAAAGAAATTGTGAAGAATAGGAGAGGGGCCATGCAGGTTGAGAATAGACTGAAGAACTAAGGGTGGAAACAGGGAGACCAATCAGAAGGCCATTGCAGTAGTCTACGTAAGAGAGATGGTACCTTGGTCTGTGGTGGTCACCATGGAGTTAGTGAAAAATGGGCAGCATTGGGAGAAGCAGATTAGAGATAGAGATGGAGACATAGATGTATAACATCACAAAGAGGTCACATTTCATTGACAACTGAATCTCTATCTATATACAGTTTTATACAAATTAAAAATGGATAATATTATCTCTACAAAGCTTATTAGCATTTACATAAAGTTATTTCAACAAGTTATTGTTATTTTCAACAAATCTACAAAGATTTTGTGCTATGTAATTTAGTGAATATGGCAAACACAATTAAAATCACCTAGCACCACTTCACTTAAAAGTATCAGCTTAAACACAGACACATATACACACACACACACACTTAATCTATCAAATGTTAATATTCCAAACTCAGAAAATCACTAATTATTTACATAATAAATACTGTTTTTAAAAATAGTGGTAAGGAATTTAAGTTAAAAAGCTGTTGCTTGAATTTTTTTTTAACTTAGATCCAGGAAACATCAGCTAATTGAGAATTTTAAGAAAGACCAACATATTGTGTTGACATTGGATGTGACCGCTTCATAGTTAGTACTGCATATATCACAAAATCATAATTTCATGTTGTTAAAACAATGACTTCCTTGTTAGTTTGAACTATAGCTTTATAGCTCTAAAGAAACATGTTAACAATTTACATCAATGGGTTGAAAATATGATTCTTTCTGATTCAGATTAAAAATATAGAAACACTAATACAATGTTACTTCGAATAATTAAGAACTTTTATCTGTTAGCCAAGAGGCCAAGTCAGCCCCAGTAACTTTTCCATAATACCAAAGGGAATACGTTTCACCTCTCATGAAGGTAGATCTGGGTCATAGTCCTGTTTCTGTCATGAACTAGCGACGTGAAGGTGAGCTCATTTGCTCCCTGAGGGTTTTGTTTCCTCGGCTATACAAATTGAAGGAGTTTGGTTAAGGTAGCCCATAAGAGACTTTTCCACTCAAAAAGACATTAAGTTCAACTTGAGACAAAATATTTGTGATATTTGGGTTAAAAAAAAATAGTATACCACTACCAGTTGGAATATCCTGCCTTTGAATTTTAAGTGCTAAGAATCTGAGCAGAGGAAAAAATGACTAAGAGATTACACCATTTAAGCCATTCTGTTAGATATGTAGCCAATGCACACCAATCAAAAAGTAAATACTTTGAAAAACTATCAAGAAAGCAAAGTTAGGGCCGGCCCTGTGGCTTAGCGGTTGAGTGCGCGCACTCCACTGCTGGCGGCCTGGGTTTGGAACCCCAGGCGCACACCGACGCACTGCTTCTCCGGCCATGCTGAGGCCACGTCCCACATACAGCAACTAGAAGGAAGTGCAGCTATGACATACAACTATCTACTGGGGCTTTGGGGGAAAAAAATAAATAAAATTAAAAAACCAAGCAAGCAAAGTTAATGAAAACTGATTTTCACAGAAAAGATGATTCTTTCCACTAAAACACCAGACAAAAACACATTATCTTGAATGAAATGAACAAAAATAAATAAGGCCATCATGACTGAAAATGTTCTATGACCCAGCATGTTTTCTCTATTCCAATGATGCACGTACATGCTGCCCTAGTCTCATTGGTTCTTCTCTGTCCTCAACACAAGGACGCCTTCATAGGTTTCTAGTTGAATGCTGTTCCAGGTATCTTACAAACCCTTCTTCTCGCAGCATTACAAGGAAAATCATTCCAGGCCCATTTGTCTTGAGCATTTACAAGGATAACACAGTTTTCTTTCTGATAGTTGTTGGGTTCACCCTCATGCCAGAATCTGAAATGAAAAAGAAAAAATTATGTGTGTGTGTGTGTGTGTGCGTGCAAGTGTGTGTGGAGGTCAGGGGACAATGCAGAGGAAATGCCCCTGATGAAAATCTTACAGCTGCGCTATCCAATAAACATATAGTAGTAGACTAGTATAGAGGTTACTCAATACATACTGCTCTGTTCTAAATAAGCATTTTTATACTGTTATATTCCATCCCGAAATGAATCCTGCTTGCTACCTTCTTCTCGCCTTTCCCTGTAAAGCTCTTTCACCCAGTCAATATACTCACGCTACATGTGGGTTAAATGGTGTCTTGTCCACCCAATGCCACTGGCCCTCAGGGTTCTCATTCGTAAGTCCCAGGAAATATGAAAATCGTCTATCCAAATATTGAATAATAAAGTTCTGCATAAAAAATGTAAATTATTATAAATATATTTGCATTTATTATATGGTAGCTGTTATATTAGAAAAAGAGGGAAGAGATCAAATAGATTATAGTTAAGCAGAAAAGCATTGGCATCAGACAGACGTGATTTCATATCCTACCTCTGCTGTTTACTGTGTAATGTTAGTAAGTGCTTTAATCTCACCAAACCCCAGTTCTCATCTCCAAAAGGGACACCTCCACTTCTTCATAAAGTTACTGTGAAGATTAAGTGAGATCGTATTTGCAAACCACTTAGCACAGTGCTTAATAGGATCTGATTTTTAGGAACTTTTTTTTTTTAAATTGCCTTCTTTGTGTATTTCATTAAATTCCGTTTTATTCAAAGAGTGAACCCGTAGATTGCAAGGCCGTGAAAACAGAATCCTCCAGGAAACCATGCTGATGAAGAAAAGAGTAGAATCAGAGTAATGGTACATATATGGAAAGATATTATGTGAGGAAATAAATTTCAGTTTTTAAAGAATTGCATTTACCTTAAGATTTTTTTAATTTAGAATTATAACCATACATCTGAATTATTTTTCCTATGCTTGATCCTGAGAAGCTATTTCAGTCCTGATTAACCATTCCTTTATTCACTTACTCACCAAACATTTATCAAGACCTATCCAGTTTGCCTAGCACGGCACAGGACATTGGAGGTGCAAAGATGAGTAAGGCATGGCCCCAGCCCTCTGCAAAGTAGGAGTCGGTGGAAGAGACAGAGCAGCGAGCAGACAATTGCAGTCCACTGCACAGAGTACCACGAAAGTACCTCCAACTTAGAATAGGGAAGATGGAGGAGGGAAGGTGGTCAGGGTAGTTTTCTGGAAGAAATAACATGAATCAAATCTGGAAAAACAAAGGAAGTTGGCCATATGAAGAAAAATGAAAGAGGAAGAGGATGCTTTCCAGGAAGATGGAATAGATGAAGTAAAGGCTCAGAGGCAGAGCAGGGAAATTTCTTTCTTAGGAAAGAGATTCAAACCCACAGAGAAACTGTTGTGAGCCTCCCAACCTACCTGCTCAGCTTCTGTGCTGATGGTGGCCAGATGAGCCCCCATCCCTGTGCAATTCCTTTCCCCCTCAGCCCAGGTCTTGTTGTCATTAAGAGGAAGATAGCAGTTGGACTGGAAAGATCTCCAGCCAACAGGACAGCAATTCCAGGCGCTCTCTCATGTGAAAATTGAAATGAAAATTAGCTACAAAGGAGCATTTCATCTGTAACAGATTGCATGACTATTCTACTACCTAATATCTAATTAACATTTATGGGAATAATACAAGGATTACCAAAATCATTCTGTTCCTCCTTTTAAAGATTCTGAAAGTCACATTTTTAAATAGCTTCTAAACAAAAGTATCTGAATCACATAATGACTGTGAGAAAATTACAGGGTATTCTCTTAGAAAACATGATATTTTTCAATGTCCCTACATCTATTTACTTTCATATTTAAAGTATACCCATAGCAAAGCCTTTGGCAGGATATTTTATCTGAAGGGGGCAAAGAACCTGCTAAAACTCTCAGGCATTTCTCCGTTCTCCCTTATTTGGGGAGAATTTGACTTTATAAATTCCAAAATAATTAAAAAGATAAAGACACTATATATTCTAGGAGGAAACAGTCCTTATGATATGTCTAAATCAAAAGAAAATGGAATTAAATTAACGTTATGTTTTGGATGTCAAAAATGGCCCGTAAATGTATTGTTACGTTCTCCAGTTATAAAACTGATTACAATCATGAGAAGCAATTCCATCTCAATTTACTGATGTTCACTTTTGTGCCAGATTCTCATCTTATGTTATTTTGATCTCTGCTGGTTTACTACTGATATTCTTTAAATCAAATTATGAATTTGAATAAAAATGGAAATAAGGAAGAAATTCTCTTATGCTCTCTGCTACCTGTATCTTTCAGTTCTGATTTCTCTCTGATGCACGTCAGCTTTGTGTGCTGCTCTGGTAACTGGAACCCACTCATGCTTCTTCTGCAACGTACAAAGTTTCGATGAGACACTGTCAAGGAGAAAAAAAAAGTTAGTTTCCTTTTCCTGTATAACCACTTAATTAGGGAAATGAGGGCCAACCTCTCTATCTTTTCTTCTACCCTAATAGTTAAGACCCCTACATTCTCTTTTCTTACTTACACAGTTCCTTTGTTCCAGCTCCAGGTGAATTAATTGAAAGCAATGTTTGAAAATTAATACTTTTATTATCATTTTGTCCATTTTGTGCTTTATGGGAGTGTTTGTGCTTTGTGAGGGTTTATGTGCATGTGCTTTTAAGAACTTTTTTTTAATCAGAATCTGTGTTAGAGTGGAGATTTTTGGTGAACACTGGGATAGTTCTGCAAAGTTTTATGAGCCTTTTACATTTATCTTTTAAATATTTTTACCTTTAAATATAACCAAATGTAAAAGGGAAAACATAAATGTCCAGTTTATCAAATTATAGTAAAGTGACCACTTCAGGTGACAACTACCCAGCTCCAGAAACAGAACATTGCCAACACCCCAGGTGGCCTTCACATTCCAAACGCAGCCCAGTCCCTCTCTCTTAAGGTAACTGTGTCATGGCTTCTAAAGTAATCACTTTGTGCTTTGTTCCACAATTTTACCACTTAATAACATATCCCTAAACCATATAGATCAGATTTGCCTGCTTTTGAACTTTATGTAAATGGAATCATACAATATGTATTCTTTTGGTTCTGTCTTCGGCTCAGCATTGAGCCGAAAACTGAAATTTTTCCATGTTGTTACATGCAAATATAAGCACCCCTTTTTATTGCCGTAAAGTGATCTATTGTTTTAATGCACTAAAATGTATTTCTCTATTCTTCTGGTAGTTATTTGCATTGTTTCCGGTGTTTGGCTATTGTGGGCTGTGCTGCTGTGAGCAATTTTGACCATGCATCCCAGGGCACATAAGCATGCATTTTTGTAGGGTATATGCCTAGGAGTGGGATTGCTGGCAATAGGATATGCATATTGTCAACTGTGATAGTGGCAAACTTTTCCAAAGTGGTCGTGCTGCTTTACACTCCCACCAGCAGTAATTCATTCAAGTCCACTTATTTCACGGCATCATCAATATTTGGTACCGCCAGAGTTTTTAATTGTTGCCATCCTGGTATGTTTGCAAGGTATCTCGTTGTGAATTGATTTTGCATTTCTCTGAAAACTAATGAGGTTGACTCTTTTTTATACGTTTATTAGACATTTCATTTTCTCTTTTCTATAGTGCCTATTCAAGACTTGCCCCATTTTTCTGTTGTATTGTCGATATTTTTCCTATTGATTTGAAAGAGTTGTTTATATATTCTGTACACTAATCTTTTATTAATTGTATGCACACAAACATCTCCTGTGGCTTTCTGTTTTCACTCTTAGTGGTATCTTTTGTTGTATAGTAATTCTTACTTTAATATAGTATAATTTTTCAATGCTCTCTTTATTGGGTAGCACATTTTGTGACTTGTTTAAGAAATCATTCCCTGCCTGAAGGTCATGAAGATATTCTCCATTTATCTTCTAAAAAGCGTTACTGACTTCCTTTTCACATTTTGGCCAATAATCCACCTCAGATTGGTTTTTGTACGTGATATAAGACAAGAGACCAATTTACTTTTTTAAATATAGATAATCAATAGTCTCTACCACATTAATTGAACAAAACTATTCTTTTCCTATAACTCCGCAATATCCCCTTCTGTGTTATGTAAAGAGTTCATATGTGCTAAACTCTCTATTCTTTTCCTCTGGTCTATTTATCCATACTTGCACCTACATTATATTACTTTAATTACAGTAACTTTATACAAGGCTTCAATATCAGAGAGAACAAGTCTTCCAACTGTTCTTTTCAAAGCCAGACTGCAGTCCACAAGAAAGTTGGTCTTTTGTTGGTTACTCTTTACTCATAAAATGCAGTCCTTTGTAATCTCAGCCAAAATGGGGAATGATTTACTACGGTCAACAACCTTCACATGTATAGAAAAGGGTCTGAATTCTCTTTCATTCCCTGACACAAGGCAGCACCAGCAAAGAACAGAAGGTTAATTATGTAGCTCTTAATTTTAATCTAAGACACTGAAGGCATTATAGATTGATATGCTGGGGAAAATCAAGATAATAAACGGTTTAGAGCAACTTTATGAAATTTGTTTGGGAAAGTTATTCAAGGAGGGTTCTACTTTTGCTGATAACTTACCCAAACAACTTGTAATAAAACAGACACTGAGAACTGAGATGAAAACAATGGCAATGGCCCAAGGGATCAGCTGGGAATGGCAGCCTCCTTCTACTAAGACAAAGAGAAAGATAAATAGGTTATCCCCTTCTCAGCCACAAGATCTAGAGAAGCTAATTCTACCAAGAAGCAGGTAAATATGAGATCACCCAAAATATTTTAGATCTAGAAGAGTGCTTAAAGATTTCCCTTGAATAAATTAATTTTAGAGCTTACTGATAAATAAATAAATAAGAAAAACGTAAACAGTTTTTTTTCTTGGAATCAAAGGGCTTTTTATAAGCAAGACACATAACCCCAAAATTCATTAAAAAATTGATAGTTTGGGTATATAAAAATTAAAATTTCTATATAACAAATAATGTTAAAACACAAGGAACTCATGAAAGAAAAATCTTGTTACAGTATTAATATCCAGGCTGTATACAGAATTATAAAAATCAATTAGAAAACTGAGCAAAAATTTGAGCAGGAAATTTGCTGAAAATGTAATTTGCTGACATTATGACTGGCCATTAAATAAATAAAAGTATGCTTAATCAGGGAAATGTAATCTAAAATATTATGGTATGATTTTTCACATATCAGATATTAAAAAGTATATTGAAAATATGTAGTGTTGGCAAGGCTGAGGGGAAATAAGCACTCTTGGTGAGGAAATAATTGCTGCTGTTGAACTGTAAATTAGAAAACCTGTTAGATCAATTTAACAGCATTTATCAATTTTTAATGCATTACGTTTGTCACAAGAATTTCAGTTGTAGGAATCTATCTTATAGAAATAACTGAACTTATTTATATAAAAGAATATTCACTGAAGTACTTTTAGAAATAGAAAAAAACACTATAAACTAATACTTGCATGGATTAGCAGATATTTGGTCCTGTTCAAAACATCCAGAAGACGTTTGGCCCATGCCAAAACGTCCTTGACATTTGGTCCTGTCCAAGACATCTATGAGCATATTTGGTCCAAATGGTTTTGGACAGGAGTAAATATCAAGGACTTTTTGGTATGGACCAAATGTGTTATGGATGTTTTGAACAGGACCAAATGTCCTGCAAGGCTTGCATGTGTATTATCAATAGTAGAAATTCTAAATTATGCTGAATCCATATGATTGAAATCAATATAGCAATTAAAATAATCATGTATATCAGTATTTACTGACATAAAAAATCTCCAAGACATATTTTTACATAAAAATGTGTTTTTTTGGACCATCGTACATTGTGGTCCCATTGAAGTTTGCCATGGAAGAGTGATGAGGGATGAAGCAAAACTTTAATTTTAAAATTACGTATTTTTGCATTTGTTCTTTCCATTTCCCAAAAATGTTATTTAATGTTCTCATAATACAAATCCATTTGTGTCAATTAAGTAAAACACAAAATGGAATAAAGTTTAAGCCTCAGGCACACTGTGAGCCTTAGTCAGTGTGTTTTCTATATCTTCCTTCTCTCTCTTCCCTTTAAAAGAATCTTCCCAAATTACTCTATTTCTTTCCATCTTATTTCTCTTATATATACTTTATCTCCTCTCTTGGCCCAATTTACATTTTATAAAGAAGTTGCTGTTACCCAATTTATTTGAATCTATCTAGGGCCTTCCTCTTCACCAAAATCATCCTCATTTCCTTCCACCTCCTCCTCCCCGTCATTATCGTCGTCAATCTTCACAACTACAACTACCATCAACTCATATATTTAAATCTTAGTTTCTATCTGCCTCTTTCAAGTTGAAAGGAGAGAAGGTACTCACGTTTACTTTGAGGTTCTTCTTGCCCCATTGTGTGTTAACTCTCTTGTTGTCCAGTGATTGGGAGGACCAGAAGCCTCTTATTTTTTTCCCCAGAGTATATTTCTGTGAATAAAGGAATCATGAGAAATACTTGAGATTGAACATCAATCTTACCTACTCTGGTGAGATTAGAAAGTTCTCAATGTAAAAGACTTAACCAAAAGAAGAAGTGTTTTTAAAGACAGAGGTTTCCTTTGATTCACTCTGGGAGATGGAGCAAAGAAAAAAGGAAATTGAGAAAGCAATGCCCAAAAGTAGTTAGTAGAAATTTCCGTTAAGTATGTTGAGGTCACTAGGTCAGTGTGTCTTGTGGAATGTCTCAATTTTTTTATTCATTCAAACAAAAAATATAGCAATGCCTTAAAAGAATAATCACTATACCTAATAAAAATTTAATAAATATTCCTTCATCTTTCTTTTTTCCTGGATATTATATTTTCAAAGGCAGTTATATGCTTGAGGTAAGCTCCACCTTAGAAAGTTCTCCAAGTTGAGTAAGTTGTGTGCAAGATGGCAAAAGACAACGTGAACAGTGAACAAAAGCTATTAATATACACAGAGTATGTACATCGTATGTAAAGACACAAGAACCTCTGTTTTAGAGTTGAGGAAGAGGTGGTGGAGCTGTTGATTAAATACCAAAATCTTCCCAGATGAGAGAAAAACAGTCTTGTCAAGTCAGAGGAAAAGAAAATGTAACATTCTGTGATAAAGACACCATCAGAGTCCCTGACTTCATTTGCAGTACTCTCATGCACTGAATGTCTTTGTTGTCCCCACCACCACCACTGTATTGGCACTCTGATCTCAGACTTCTCAGCCTCCAGAACTGTGAGAAACAAATGTCTGTTGTTTAAGCCACTTAGTCTATGGTATTTTGTTATAGTAGCCTGAGATGACAAGACAAGTACCTAGCAGTTTAGAGATTCTTCTTAAACTCTAGCTCCCAGAATATGGCCCTTTCCGTGAATTCTTCCTTAAACTACAATATTACTTTAAGTATGTGTGTGTGTATAGTGATCTTGAATGAAATACTAATTTGCTATATTAAATTGGGAGTGGAAGTAAAATTATAAATTTGACAACACGTATATTTTCCAACACTGTCACAACCAAAAGTATTCTCACATCAATAGCACTTATCCACAACCTCTCATAAGCAACCGTAGAAACTAGATCTTTGCCTAAAGTAATATTTATTCTTTATTAAAAAGATCTAGGACTCCTAGAAGAATATGAATCCTGCTTAGAACAGGAAAAAATATAAACTAGATCTGACATATTCTGTGTTCCCAGAAAACAAGCGTGATTTCAAAAACATGAAACTCTGCTCTAAAAAGTTCTCTGAGCTGAATGAGAAGCTGTGTTCAAGATATAGCTAAGACTGCAAAAAGATAACATGAACAATGAGAAAAGCTCTATTAACCTTGTTTTGGAGTTGAGGAAGAGGTGGTGGAGCTGTTGATTAAACCCTAAGATCTTCCTAGATAAAACAGACTTATTAAGGCAAAGGTAGAGGAAATGTGAAATTCTGTGGTAAATACACAATCTTTATCAAAAATAAAATGTACTAAAAAGTAAAGTGGTTAACATGTGTCAAAATTAACTACAGTGGAACAATTTTAAAATGGAGTCAGAGCTGCCTTTCCAGAGAAACTGCCTTGCTGTCTGGAACGTTGGACTGGGCCAAACCTTTGGACTGGGCCAAAACAGCAATTGTTTTACAAGCAATTGTTTGAGAAGTCAGCAGGAGAATGGACATTCTGATGACAAAGACTGAGGATTCTGGACTTGCTGAAGATAGAATCAATAGTCAATCAGTGTCTAGCCAAGATTGGCTCGCTGCCTCCAACTCTGACTAAAATTCTTTGTACTACAACCTCCCCTCTTTGCCTTTAAAAGCCCCTGACTTTTACTCCCTAGAGGGACACTATTTGAGTTTCTACCTGAATCTGTTCTCCCTGAATTGTAGTTCTTTGATCCCAAATAAACACCTGGCCTCTTAAACTGGTTTCTGTTTTTGAAGGTTAACATTTGCAGGGACAAGTTTAAATAATTTTGGCATAAATATAATTTATTTTTATTATGATGATTAATTAGAACTATTTGAATATATAAAAATCCATAAATTCGCAATGATTCAAAATATAAATTTTGAATATAAATATATTCAAATATAAACTATGAATAAATATTAGTGGGCTTGTTTATTTTTAATTGATTTTAGCAAACAAAGAAATTATTATGGGGGGACATCAGCACCATGGCAGACTGAGTTGTTCCCTTTGTCTCTCCCCTCTAAGTTACAACTAAATCGACATTCATTAACCAACAGAGGATTCCCTAAACAACACAACAGGATGCCTGAGAGATCCACACAGGTATACACCTGAAGGTGGGTGGACTGGACCCCTGGGAAGCAATAGAACTAAGGGAGTGGACCCCTGCCCCTCCCCAGCAGCAGCAATCCAGGTCACAGATCCTCACACAGCAGCCGGCAGGACTATGGGTGGAGGTGGGGCAGCCTGGCCTGCGTGGAAATGCTTTCAGAGTGGTAGCCCAGCCCTCAGGGGCATCCACCTACAGCGGCGGCCCCATCCACATGAATGGTGGCAGCTCAGCTCACACGAAGGTGCCTCACCCACCAAGTGCAGCACTTGGCCCACAAAGGCACCCTGCCTGGCAAGTGCAGCAGCCCAGCCAGACCCACCCACCAAATGCAGCACCCAGCCCATGCAAAGGCGCCCTGCCCATGCTAGCATGACCTTCCTGCCAAGCACAGTGACCCCACCCATGCAAGTGCAACTTGCCCGCTGAGTACATCGGACCTGCCCACATAAGCACAACCTGCTGAGTGGCTGTGGCCAGCCCACCCAAATGTAGAGTGGCACAACTATGAGGAAATGAGGTGAGAACAGAAAACACAGCCCCTGCCTCCGCAGTGCTGGTAGGTGGAATCTGTGACCAGACACTACCGCAAATGTGCCAGCAGAGGATCAATTCATCAAACACCATGAAGAACTACCATAACATTGCAGAACAGAAGGAAAATAACAACTCTCCAGAAACAAAACCTGAAGTCACAGAAGATTACAATCCAAATGACAGAGAATTCAAAATAGCTGTCATAAAGAAACTCAATGAATTACAATAAAATGCAGAAAGACAGTTCAATGAGCTCAGGAGAGATATTAATGAACAGAAGGAATACTTTACCAAAGAGATTGAAGCCCTTAAAAAAAACCATACAGAAATTCTAGATATGAAGAACACAATTAATGAGATAAAAAATAATGTAGAAAGCATAAAAGATAGAGCAGACTTTATGGAGGAAAGAAGTAGTGACCTAGAAGACAAAAATCTACAAATGCTTCCAGTGGAAGAGGAGAGAGAACTAAGATTTTTTAAAAATGAAGAAATTATTCATGAAATATCTGACTCAATTAGGAGAAGTAACATAAGAATTATAGGTATCCCAGAGGGAGAAGAGAGGGAAAAAGGAACAGAGAGCTTGTTCAAAGAAATAATAGCTGAGAAATTCCCAAACGTGGGGAAGGAATGGGACTTACAAGTACATGAAGCAAATAGAAGTCCTAATTGCATCAATGCAAAAAGACCTTCTCCAAGGCAGATAATATGACAAAAAATATTAAGGGCAGCACAGCAGAAGAAAATAACCTACAAAGGAACCCTTATCAGGCTTTCAGCAGATTTCTCAGCAGAAACCTTAAAAAAAAAAAAGAAATTATTATAATATGTACATTAATACATGTGAGTGTTTGTTTTTTCCAGTAAGAGTATATACATTTCCAAGCATAGGTATTTCCTTGTTTTGTCTTGTAAAACTAAATAATAGACACCAGAAATGATAAGAGAAGTAATCCTGGGAAAAAGTCAATTCTGCATCAACAACAGGAAAGACTAATATACATCAGTTGTTACATTTAATAACCAAGTGGAAAGGGAAGCCAAGAGTTCAAACAAAATAACTGAGTAGAAATAGGGTTCACAAGGCAATGCAAAATTATGAATTAGTCAGATATACTAAGCAAAAGAGCTAAGAATATGGACTCACTTATATCTTAGAATAAAACCCCAATATGAACTTACTGATATTGATGAAATGAGGAATACATGGTTTTGGAATATTGCTAACAGATGAAGCTAATAAGTTATGTAACAGTAGCCAAGCAAGATAGTAGAAGTACAATATTTCTGGGAGACACATCTGGTGGCAAAAAAATAAATCATATGAAAAGTACAGACTAAAATGGACTAATATCACAAGTGAAGTTTATAAATGAAAATAATTATCAGGTTCCAGTCCAAGATGGAGACACAGGAGGCTCCTGAACTTACCTCCTCCCATGGACACGATGAATCTACAGCTAGACAAAGAACAACTCCCTCTGAAAGAAATCCAGAAACTAGCTGAAGGACTCCTATACATCAGGCAAATGAGGAAAAAACCCATATCAAAATGGTTCAGAAAGGCTAAGACACACTCTCTCCATAAACCCCAGCCCTGGCACAGCGATGTGCAATCAGGAGGGAACGTCCAACTCCCAGCTACACACTGAAGAGGAAAGGGTTTGAACCCAACATCTAGCACTTCAACTTTTGAGACTTCACTTGAGGGATAGACCCCCAAAACACCTACCCCTGAAATCCAGTGGGGCTTGCGTCCATGAGACCCACAAGACTATAGCAAACACAGAAACAGTTCTTAACTGGCTATCTTCCTAGGGCTCAATGCAAAGACAGCAGACAGAAATGCTCCCAGTCTTTCCATGAAAAAGGTCTGCTTGCATACTTTAAAAGTTGCTGTCTGAGGGTCAGACTTGTAATCAGCCCACTTCTAGGTGTGGAGATCCTCCTCTTTGGGATACTATCAGGTCTTTGCACACCCTCAACTACTGGGAACCACTAAGAACAAAGAAGGTGGCTTGGTTAATCACAAAAGTTTGAGAGACAACCAAGAGCTAAGGCTGAGCTGAACAATAAGGTTCATCTCCTACAAGGCCATTCCTTTTATACTGGGAGAAGAGGCTGTTTCATCTAATGCACCAAAACCAACACAGAGATCAAGGAAAATTAAAAATAGACAAATATATTCTAAACAAAAGAACAAGATAAATCTCCAGAAATAGACCATAATGAAATGGAGATAAGTGATTTACCTAATAAAGAGTTCAAAATAATGGTCATAAAGATGCTTACTAAGGTCAAGAGAACAATGCATGAACA